TAGCCAGAAGCAACACATGCAAGCAGGTGAGGCAGAGTGATGGAAGAAAAACATACTCTACTTATAATACATTAAAAACCTACCCCAATCTCGCCAGGAAAAATAATACATGGCAAAATGTCATCAGTCAGATGGGGCTGCCACATTTTGAATAGGCATATAGTTTACAAACTTAGCTAAATCCATTGATAAAGTTAACTTAGCTTCCTTGTGCACTTTTTGATGATGTGTACCTGTGATGCACTTTACTTCTGCAAGTGTCTGCACTATGCTCTGCGCCCTAACTCACTCCGAGTGAAAAGCAAATTTCTTATCATCTGAAGGCAGCTTTAGCATGAATAATATATAGCCATAAGCATTCGCGGGTTCAAACGTTTTTACGTCATTTCAAAATAGTTTCACACACGTGGTTCAACATATCCTGCAAGTTTTGTAACAGACAATCAATTTCTGATTTATAGTCAATAGAGAATAGATTTTTGTTATTTCACGCTTTGCATATGTAGTGCCCGGTAGGCAAGGCAAGTTTATTTGTATAGCACATTTCAACAAGGCAATTCAATGTGCTTTACTTAAAACATAAATACATTGGGTAATATAAAAATATATTTAAGTACAAAAAAATAGCTAAATATAAAATTAAAACAAGATAGCAAAACAGTTACAATTTAGTGCAAGATATTAATCAAAAGCGTCAAATCTGATTCAATAAAAGGCAGCGACAAAAAGAAAAGTCTTCAGCCTTGATTTATGAGCAAGGCTCAAAGGAGGTTGTTCCACATATACGGTGTATAAAAACATGAACGCTGCTTCTCCATCATGTTTAGTTTTGACTCTGGGTACAGAAACAGACTTGTCCCAGATGACCTGAGACGTCAAAATGGTTCATAACATAGTGGAAGATCAGAAATGTATTTATTGGCCTAAAACCATTCAGTGCTGTATAAACCAACAGTAATAACTGAAAATCAATTCTTAGACAGGCAGAAAGCCAGTGTAAAGACCTTAGAACTGGAGTCATGTGATCCACTTTTTTTGTCTTAGTGAGGATGGATAGGTTTTTCCAAATCCTGCTGTGACAAAAGTCCTTTAATCCTTGATATATTCTTCCGGTGATTGTAGGCTGACTTTGTAATTGTCTTAATGTGGCTGTTGAAATTCAGGTCTGAGTCCATGACTACACCAACATTTCTGACTTGGTTTGTGGTTTTTAACATTGCAGATTGTTGAATTGTTCTTTCTTGGCACCAAAAACAATGACTTCAGTTTTAACTTTGTTTAATTGAGGAAAATTCTGGGACATCCATCACTGATTTGTTCAATGCATTTAATCAGGGATTGTATGCGATTATAGTCCCCTAATGACATGGTTATATAAATGTGTGTGTCGTCTGCACAATTATGGTAACATTTTGTTGTTTTTCATAATATAACAGAAGAGGTCCCAGAATGGATCCTTGGGGAACTCCACAGGTCAATTTTGTCATCTTTACCTAAAGATAAAGTAGTCCCTGTCACTAAAGTAGAATTCAAACCAGTGCTAGAAAGTCCTACCAGGTTTTCCAGTTGGTCTAGTGTCATGTTGTGGTCAATTGTGTTGAATGCAGCACTGAGGTCCAGACTGAAATTCTGCCACTGTGTTTAAATGGATGTCAGTGAAGACCTTAACAACAATAGAACAGTCTCAGTGTTTTGGTGTAGTCAAAATCCTGACTGGAAGACATCAAATCAGCTGGCAAAAAACTTTTTCAATGAGTTTACTTAAAAACAGGAGGTTTGATATAGGCTTGTAAGGTGTGTCTACTGGTTGATTTGAATGAAACTTTAAGGATATGTGTCAGGTACTTATCCTGGATGTCTTGTGATGACTGGACAAACATTTTCTGATTTACAGCCTTTTTTGTGTAATGCCGTGTCCATTTGTTGCATTTGTAGCGTCACCTATTGGTTGATTTGAATGAACCCTAAGTTGTGATGATTGGCCCAAAGATTGTTGACTTTGGTCTGTTTAAGTGCTGAGCAACGCCCTTTGTAAAGTTCACTGGTCAATATCTTGAAAACCAAATGAGATATCAACAAGCTTTATACAACTTTTGACCAATAGTGATCCAATAAATTTGGAAGTGATCAGACCTTTGGTGTAAGAGGAAATGTCAAATGTGTTTATCAAAAAGATAAAAAATCGAGTTAGGAGGACTTAAACGGTCCGCAAGGCTTTTTTGTAGAGCACATTGAGCTGGAAATTTCAAGTCAATAGAAAATAAGGATTACATGAAAGGGTGTGACTTTTCACTTTTGGCCCTAATTACAGTGCCACCATCTGGTCGACTGGGCTCATATTTCTTTGGAAGCAGTTGCACATCATTTCCAGTCAGTGGCCCAACTTTCATGCTTCTAGCTCTTTCTAGCTCATGATAATTTGAGACATGGCAATTGAATAAAAAAAATGTAATAATAATAATAATTTACTATTATTGCTTTTTCCCTGAAGCTTAATGTTTTATTTTATAAACGTGTGTTAATTTTTTCTAATGTTACTGGAGGTGGTCTTCATTTCCAGTGAAGTAGCTCACCTTTGCTATAAAATGTTGCTGGAGATTCAAGGACAATGATCAAAACTTTTAACTAGGTAAACATTGACTGGCCATGTCACTCCTACTGTTTAACTATCAGTAGGTAAGTAAGTAAGGAGGGAGGATACAGGAGCTGCAGGTTACAATAACAAAGAAATTCATATAGCTGCTAAGGAGTGGTCTACACTTGATCTGTTATGATGTTATTGACCTGTATTGACCAGAGGTACTGATATTTACTCTGGTCAATACAGGCACTACAGCTGTAGCTAGAGTACAGCCAATAACATTGTTCCATTGCCTAAGATCAGTACTGTAGACAACGAAATTAAAACTACTAGAGGCAACATGTTTACTATTGACACATCTGTCAGGTTGATATCAGCAAGGGACCTCAGGTGGAGGGAGCAGGCAGATATGACTAGATGTTACAGCTCTAGAGCTGTGTGTCCTGTGTTTTGCTGTGTGTGCTTCTCCTTCTCCTGTAGTTCTCCAGGTACTGCCCTTCCCTCTCCTGTCTCGCAGCTGCAACTAGTGATTGGCAGCAGCTGCCCAATCAGTTCCTGGAGGATCTGAGAACAATGAGAGAGCCGCAACAGAACTTGTAAGGGTTGGTCTTGAGAGGCCAGTGTGTGAGGCTGGTCTTGAGAGGCCAGCCTGTGTGGCTGCCGACCAGTGGGTCAGATGGTGGTGTTTGGGAGCAGCAGGAGTGGAGCTGTGGACTCGCATACTCCTTTGGAAGAGGGTGGGTTTTAAATGTTTTATTTAAGTTGCTAGTACTGTGTCTTTATTTAAAACCTGAAAAAATGATCTTTTAGTTAAATAGTTGTTTGTAAAGACTTTGTTTCTGTGTCTCTTCTGTTCCTGTTTGATCTTTATTTGTTTGCACATGATCTGTTTCCTGTTTCTTCTGGCACTTGAAGAAACTCCTCACTTCACCTCTAGGTTTGAACCACGTGAAGACGTAAAACTAAGGTATGGTGCCATTTTCCACTTGGCTATTTATTGTCTTTAGTTAGAAAGGCAGTCATTTTTGCCAATATTAGGATAATGACAATTGCTACAAATTGGTTCACTTACAGGGGGAACTAAGGAAAAGGACATTCGCTGTGTACAACAGTAAGCAAGCAAGCACTGAAAGGTTTTTAGTGAGGCATATGTAAAACATTCCTCAGCACATTTCCTCTGACTGAGCACTTTGGCATTTTTAAAGTCCATATTTAGGACATAGTCTGCTGTTCTGTATGTTTTAATGTGTATAGTTATGGCAGTGAAGGACTGAAGAGACTCACCAGAAAGAATGAAATATAAACAATTTAGCACCTTGAAAGTCACGTGCACAAAATTAAAAGTAAAAGGTGCCTTTATTAAAAGAATTGATTTCTTTCAAGTTGGCAATTCATACTTCATTGGACATTGCTATATCAAAGCTATTCTAAAATTGTACAAATCTCAATACATTAAATCACAGCAGGTGATATTTGAATTTAGAAAAGAGACATTCTTCATGATTCATGTCAGCTCAACAGCTAACTGAGAAAAGGATGAAAGGGACCCAAAAATGCAGGATGAATGGGTGGAAGAGGTTGCTCATTTACAGTATCAAGTCCTGGGGGACAAGCTGGAGTTGTGGATGCACCTGGGAGTTGAGCTCTCTAATGTTGTAGTACTCGACCGGTCTTAAGACCACCTTTTGATGGTCTTGGTCTCGTCTGACTCGACCGCATATTTACTGTCTTGTCTCGGTCATTGAGGACTTGGGATTTTATTTCAAGACCATAACTTTGGGAATATCAAATTGCTTTTGCATTGTCTGATTTAAGTAGATGTAAAATGTATTGCTTTAAATGCAACCATTAACCCTAATTAAAAATGTGGTGGTACCGTTAACGACAGTCACCACTCCCCGCAATGGTAAGCATGGAAAAGGAGTGTAAAATAAAGATGCTTACATTGACTTCAGCTCTTGGTGTTTGTTTGTGGATGTTTCAATGGAAATGTCAGATCAATTTGAGAAGTACCTATGATCTTATTTCACGTTTTGTGGGGAACTGGTCTTGTTCTGGTCTCCATAAACTCTGGCCTTGGTCTCGGTTTGGGCGATCTTTACTACAACAGTAGAGCTTTCCTCACTAAACAAACCAACCGTAAGACTCCCCTGATGAATCTTCTGAAGAAGCAAGTTTGACATCTGACTGGAGTTAGTATCCACTCTCTGAGGGCAAAGCTGTAACATCAGAAAGAGCGGAACCAGCACCAGGACCACCAGCTGACTAAAATCTCCCAGGACAAGAGGTCTGGGATTGAAATCAGGATGAGCATCCCATCCTCAAGGCCATCTCTGGATCTGGTATCTGTTCATCATTTAGCATTCCTAATATAAATTATTTAAAAAGCTAACTTATTGTTTAAAAAGTGAGTGTGGGGTTTTTTTTTTTTTTTTTTTTTTTTGTTGAGCTTTTACAGAGAAACTCCTTTGTCTTGTGAAATGTTCAAGGCCACAAGATCCTCCTGCCTTTATCATCACAAAATAACATTTTAATCTGCATGGTTGATTCATGAAAGTTAAATGAAATCATATTTATATTTGATCCAAATAGCAGGGGACATTGTTTTTTACCTTTTATCATTATCTAATAGTATGTAGAAATTATGTATTGTTTTAGATTTAAACCTGTTAACATCCAGAAATCAGATAACCTAAGGATGCCATCATACTTTCCCACTTTAATTATATAATAGTGCCATCTGCTGGACAATGTAGACTAAGCATGTCTGCAAATCCAATGCCTATAACTATGGAACATTATCTTTGTCTTCAATTTATGTCTTGTTATTTCCTTTCATATAAACTCACTGGTATGTTGACCTGTTTCATTGGTATTTCTACAGCTGTGTGTGTCTGCGTGGCACCTCATCTTACAAGTCACCGTTGCATTGAAACCCAGTGGAACAAAATCCCGATAAAAACTGTATGATGGGGGGCTAAAATCAAGATTCATGTTCATTTTAATTGCCAGTGTAATCCACATTTAAACTAACATCTAATCATTCCATGAAAATTGAAGACTTTCCACAGTTATGTTATCTATAATTCATAACAGGAAAATCAACAGATTTCATAAACAGATATCTAGCATATTGTTGACTGTTGTCCAATTATTAATGTTATCAGACCTGAAAATCGTCTTATAGCCTCATAGCAATACACAGTGGTAAAATTTGAGGAAAGAAAGACCTAGGGCAAGTAGTATTAAAATTGCAAATCTAACAAGTCCTTGAGAAAACTCTCAGAAAAAAACATAATTTTAATGCTTCTTTTTGAAAAATGCCTATTAGCAAAAAAGAGCCAGAACATTTACTGAAATGTTGTTTCTGCCTTCTATCCCAATGAGGTCCCAGGTGTAACGGCTGAGCAACACTCACAAAAAGGTGATTTATTTATCTCAGATTATCAGGCACATGCTCACTATCCATTTATGTGCACTAATGAATACATTTCCATTTTAAGGTTAACACTTATTTTCAGGAGAAATCACTTCAGCAACAAGGAACCAGTCAAATACCTATGTATAATATACTTTAGGTGTGACCACTACCTCCCTTCAATGCCAAAATATATCTGAAAGATGTCACAACAGCCTTTCTCATTTAAGAACTGGTAGAGCTGCCCAAGGTCCATGTGATTACCTCTGTTCCCATGGGGGTCAAACATTGCCTCTTCAAAGCCTGTGAATTTGCGCAGGGAGTCTATACACTCAACAGTCCGGCTGTCCTTGCCCTGACGATCGAGGGGAATATCCTCTCTGTGTCGAATCATGATCTTCTTCCATGTCAGAACCTTCACTCTGTGAAATGGGAAAAAGTTTGGAAAAATAATAAACCTGGTACCTCAGCAGGCTTCTGGCTGTGACATCAGCTGCTAAAAATAACAACACTCAAGATACCTGGACCAGAACTCCTCGCAGGCAGACTGAGGACCTTCCACACAGACAATACCAGGCTTCCCAGGCATGCTAAATCCCGACAGGCCCAGCTCTTTGGACCACTCCAGGATGTTCTTCCTCTTTGTCTTGTTGTAGATGTGATGACTGTAAATCCACAGTCGGGTAAACACTTCCTGTAGCCATGGAGATGCAGAGTCTTTCTTAGGAGCCAGTGCTGCTGATAAGCTCTTATTAATGAAGAACTGCAGGTTGTCTTTCACCCAGTCCACAGCAGAGAGCACACACACTTCCCCCTGGCTGTTTTCCGAGAGGTATGCGTTGAGATCTGTGTGGAGCTGCGTCTGCTGGGTCCTGCTGAGACTAGCACACCTAGGGCACGAAAAAAAAACATGCTGTATGAAGGAGTCAGAGAAGATTCAAGGCAAAGTTAAGGAGTAAAACTTATAATGGAAATCTTGAATAAGCTAAGGTTTGCAGAAATTTACAAAATAACAGATCTTCAGAAGAGTGATAGTCTTACTCATCAATATCAGAATCAGCTTTATTGCCAGGTATGTGTACACATATGAGGAATTTGACTCAGGATTGTACATTGCTCATGATGTGCTTACTCGTACAAAAATACCATAACACAATAATAAAATCAGACACAAACTACAGTATAGACAACACTAATATACACACTATGAACAAAACAATATAGACATATTGACAAATAGTGCAGTGATCAGAGTGCAAAGGATGCGAGAGTAAACTATTATTCTCATTATTTACATGTTGAAGGTGGATATGATATACAGGTACACATACATGTACACAGTGTGATGGAGCATAGTGCAAAGGATGCTGGAAAAAATAAATAAGACCTATGACCTGAGGTAGGTGTATTGGTATACAGTATATACAATATGACATAGTATGAACAGCACTGAAATAGAGAATGGTGAATAAATAAGTGGAAACCAGTAAACAGGTGGCTGATTAGAGACAGAGTTACTGGATTATTGCACAGGAATTGTTCGTGACACTGAATCAGAAATCAGCTGTTCATCAGAGTGATGGCTTGTGGGAAGAAACTGCTTCTGTGTTTGTTGGTTTTGGCGTACAGTGCTCTGTAGCGCCTACCAGAAGGGAGGAGCTGGAACAGGTTGTGTCCGGGGTGAGATGGATCTGCAGTGATGTTTCCTGCCCGTTTCCTGACTCTGGAAATATACAAGTCCTGAATGGAAGACAGGTTGGCACCGATTATTTTTTCTGCAGTCCTGACTGTCCGTTGTAGTCTGTCCCTGTCCTTTTTGGTGGCAGATCCAAACCAGACAGTGATGGAGGTGCAGAGAACAGACTGGATGATGGCTGTGTAGAACTGGATCAGCAGCTCCTTAGGCAGGTTGAGCTTCCTGAGCTGACGCAGGAAGTACATCCTCTGCTGGGCCTTCTTGATAATCGTGTCAGTGTTGGGCTCCCACTTCAGGTCCTGGGATATAGTGGGAACCCAGTAACCTCAAGGTTTCCACAGCAGACACAGGGCTGTTGAGTATGGTGTAGAGGGAGAAGAGCAGTGGGGAGAGCACACACCCCCTGGGGGTGCCAGTGCTAATAGTCCAGGTGCTGGATGTGATGTTTCCCAGCCTCACCTGCTGACTCCTGTCAATCAGGAAGTCTGTGATCCACTGACAGGTGGAGGCTGGTACAGTGAGCTGGGTGAGTTTGGTGCTGAGGATGTCCGGGATGATGGTGTTGAACGCCGAGCTGAAGTCCACGAACAGGATCCTAGCATATGTCCCTGGAGAGTCGAGGTGTTGCAGGATGTGATGCAGACCCAAGTTGACAGCATCATCCACTGACCTGTTAGCCCTGTAGGCAGGGGGTCCAGCAGGTGGCCTGTAATGTCCTTCAGGTGGGCCAACACCAGTTTTCCAAAAGGCCTTCATGACTACAGATGTCAGGGCGACGGGCCTGTAGTCATTTAGTCCAGAGATGGAGAGTTTTTTGGGGACCGGGATGCCTGTGGAGCGTTTGAAGCAGGAGGGAACTTCACACAGCTCCAGTGATTTGTTGAAGATCTGAGTGAAGATGGTGGCCAGCTGGTCCGCACAGATTTTCAGGCACAATGGTGAGACACAGTCAGGTCCAGGAGCCTTCCTAATCTTCTGCCTTTGGAAGAGGTGGCTCACGTCCTCTTCACAGATCTTGAGTGCAGGTGAGGGGTCAGAGTGGGACAGTGACTGTTTGAAGATGGCGTTGGAGTTGGGGAGAGGTGTGACTCTGGGCTTTTCAAACCTACAGTAGAAACCATTCAGCTCGTCTGCCAGTTGTTGAGTACCAGCAGTGTTGGGGGATGGTCTCTTGTAGTTTGTGAGTGTCCGTAGGCTTCTCCACACTGACGCAGGGTCGTTGGCTGCAAAGCTGTTATTTAGCTTTGCAGCTTTGACCTCTTTAGTCAGAGTGTTCCTGGCCTGGTTGTACAAGACTCTGTCCCCACTTCTGAAGGCCTCCTCCTTGGTCTGACAAAGCTGCCTGAGTTTCGCTGTGAACCAGGGTTTTTGGTTATTGTATGTGTGGAAGGTTTTAGTTGGCACACACATGTCCTCACAAAAACTGATGTAAGATGTGACAGTGCCAGTTAGTTCGTCCAGGTCAGTGGCTGCAGCCTCAAAAACACTCCAGTCAGTGCAGTCAAAGCAGGCCTGTAACTCCAGCTTTGACTCGTTGGTCCATCTTTTCACAGTCTTTACTACAGGTTTAGCAGATTTCAGTTTTTGCCTGTGTCTCGGGAGAAGATGAACCAGACCGTGATCAGAGAGTCCCAAGGCTGCACGGTGAACAGAGCGATAGGCGTCCTTTAATGTTGTGTAGCAGTGGTCCAGTGTGTTAGTGTCCCTGGTGGGACACTTAATATGCTGTCTGTACTTTGGAAGTTCATGACTGAGGTTTGCTTTGTTAAAGTCCCCAAGAACAATGAGCAGGGAGTCTGGGTGTTTTTTCTCCACGTTAGTTATCTGGTCGGCCAGGTGTAGTAACGCCTCATTTACACAGGCCTGAGGTGGAATGTAAACAGCGACCAGAACAAACGAGGAAAACTCCCACGGTGAATAAAACGGTTTACAGTTTATAAATAATGTCTCTAGGTGAGGCCTGCATGATTTCTTCAACACTGATCCGCGCGGATGAGATTAATTCCCGGTAGGTGAAGTGCGCTTTCCGGGATGCGCTCGGTGAGCCAGGATTCGGTGAAACAGAGGGCAGCAGATCTGCAGAAGTCCGAGATAGTTCTGTTGAGGAGCAGCAGTTAGTCCATTTTGTTGGCCAGAGAGCAAACATTCGCCAGCTGAACTGAAGGGGAGCGCAGTGCGAAATCCCCGCTGTCTCAGTTTAACCAGCGCGCCTGCTCGTTTTCCCCTGCGCCGTTTCCGAAGGATCCCAAACAGAGCTGCCGCTCCTCCAACTAGTAACTCCGGGAAAGTTCCAGGGTCAATAAGGAGCGGTGGAATAGTATGAGCAGTTGAAAGTCCAATGTTTAAGAGCTCTTCTCTGGTAAAAGTTACCAGAGAGGGACGGCAGAAAACAGCGTTAATTAACAAAAACACAAAAAGCACTACGGAGCGTAATCCCGAGGCGGCCGTCTGCGGAGCTATCTTGGATATATGTTCATGAATGGCGATTTATGGTTTGTATCAGATACTGGCCACTTAAATGAAGCAGACAGGAGAATAAACCAAAATGTATCTTCCCATGCAAGCTGTACTTCCCACTACTCAACAGAGGCTGATGTTGTCCTACTCCCATAGCAGCTTTTATACTAATTTTGTGAAAACAATATGAATTGTTACTGCTTAACAACTCCGTGCAGGGAACACATGCAGCATACAGTAAATTGTATGCTATCTGTATTCAACCATGCATACTTCTTAACTTAAATAGGGCCATAACAATAAAAAAAACCAACTACTTAGCCTACTTTCTGCCACAGTCACATAACCCATTTTCATCTGTGTCATTAGTCTGTTATTATATCTGTTATAGTCTCTATGTCATGTTCATTCATTTCATTTTCACATTAGACCAAACCAATGGCATGGTTGTCCTTGGCTTGTTTTTCTGTCTTTTTGCACTTCAGGCTGCTGTTTACAGGCGCAGGGTTTACAGAATGACTTTTTTTACTTTTTTTCCGACAGAAATTAAATATGTGTGTTTGAGTTATTAATGTCTGTTTGACATGGAAGATTTATGAAAATGTTACAGTATCGTAAGATGTCCAATTGCAAGAACTGGTAAGACATTTTATAACAGCTCCTTATCACACATGACCTCTGAATGGAAAACTTCTTTTGGTAAAGCCCAAACACACACACCACCGGATGGGTCTCTACAATTTCTATGGGCTTTATAGCATTGCATATAACATTAGATTATGAACATATTGTGTTGCTGTTTTGCAAGATTTTATACGTATTATAAACTAAGCTAATTAGTTAGTTGTTCTCGTCTTGCATATATGAGAAGAGTTCATCACCTTCACCACACATCAGAAGTGGATAGTGGCTTACCTGATTGTTATCTCTGGTAACACACTGGGATATTCGGGTGGATAAGCACATGATAGAATGACGTCCGTCTGAGTTGAGCAACAAAATAAGAAAGGACAATGGCGTTAAATACGTTTTAAGACACATTTAAATCACAGGGACAGTCGGTTATTCTGTTACCCTCTCAGTGCTCCCAGTGTCCAGTTTCTGTTTGATGAGAAACTGAGGTCTGGAAGGAGGTGGGCTGTCTGTTGAATCTGAGCCCTCCACATAGTCCCTGAGCTCAGCTAGTGCCAGCTGATCTGTGATCTCCAGCTCCTCCTGTGTGGGAAACATGCTGGTGAGCAGCTCCACCTCTGCGAGCTGAGACTCAGCCCGCTCTAAGTAAGACATGCTGATGAAGGCAAACTAGAGCGTCGATCTTCACTTGTGTTACACATAAACGATCACTGTTGAAAAGATTTCTGTCTCCGCATTTAAAGATAACGTTATTATTACTTTTAATTTAACGTTACGTAACCTGTCATTAACGTTACAGCCCGGCTAGCAAATAATGTTGCTTCTGTACTAGCGACTACTAGGTAAGTCTTGTCAAGGGAGTAACATTAATAAAATACATTTAAATTAGCTATATATGTAGAAGGAGCGGAACACCACAGTTAAACACCCGAACAACTTCAGTAATGGCAACACGCCTAGTGATCGAGCTTTGTTTCAACTCGGACTGTTAGAAGCGACGCACACAGGAAACACACATACCGAGCAGCAGAAGGCGTTGCACATTTTGTTCATCTGTTCATCCGTCTGCATGTGTCAGCCGGGATTTTTCTGCCAAATCAGCGGAGTGAATTTTTTTTTTTTTACCGAATGTGAAACTTTGTAGACACATTTTCTTATCCGAGGGCTTACATTTTACGTCTGTAATCAGCAAACCAAGTTGACTATGTCCGGATTTGAGAATCCATCCACACAAAGTAACCGAAACTGAAAACGGTGAAGCTTTTAGGCTCCTTTTGTGACAGTAAGTTGACTGGACCCTGAGACATGGAGTTACACGTCACATACATACACTAATTTGTGTAAAGCAGCATTATAATTGATGTTATATAACGTTAGCTATTAGCCAAAGCTGGCGTTAGTTTAGGTGACTGCTGTTTATTATTTCGATTCATGTCTAATTGTGCTTAACGTTAGGTGACAATGGGAAAGAAAAGGGGGAAGGACAGGAGCTCCAGAGAGGATGATGACATTGACCTGACAGGTAAATAATATTTTAATATTATCATCTCCATTGTCATATGGCAACCTGTGGAAGGCCTAGGATGACTTTCCCACATTGTTTTCTTTTTATCTTCGTAGGTCCTTCCTGCAGACATATTAAGAAGGGAACGGACCAAACTCTTTTAAAGAAACTCTCCGGTAATTCTGATTGGACAAGTTGCCAGGATTGTAAGCATGAAGAGCATAAAGAAAATATCAGCACCACCCTGCCACAGGACACTGAAGAGGAACAAGAAACAGCAGCCGTTTGGATGTGCTTGAAATGCGGCCATAGAGTGAGTTTATTCAACCCATTTATCATTCAAATTTTGACAGTGTATGAAGGGACTTTTGCTAAATGACCAGATGCATCTTTTCTGCCAGGGATGTGGACGAAACTCTGAGAACCAGCATGCCATCAAACATTATCAGACTCCTCGGTCAGATCCACATTGCCTGGTGGTCAGTTTGGACAACTGGAGTGTGTGGTGAGTATGTTGCTGTGCTGTGTTAGTCACAGATGTCAAACTTGTGTTTGAAATGTAAAAGTACTTGTTCTGTTTTGATGTGTTGCCAAACTTGCAGGTGTTACATATGTGATGACGAAGTCCAGTACTCTAGGACTGGACATTTGGCTCAGCTGATGACCAACCTAAAAAAGCAAACCTCTGCAGATCCTATAAAGAGACCAGAAAAAAGTGGGTCCATTTGGAAAATTTGAGCATCACTGTAATGTTTTTAAAATAAAATAAAAAACAGATTTCATTATTGGAATTACATGTCTCTATAACCATGTCCACCATGCTGTGTTTGGTTATTTAGGAGTAAAGGAGGAAGACAGTTTAGAAGTTGGGCAGATGACAGAGACTGTAAAAACAGAGAAAAGTGAGGACAAGGAAAACGAGGACCAAAAGAAAAATGTCAAAAAAGAGAGTGTAAAATCACAGAAGTCTGGCACATCTGAAGACAATGGTGGTGTTTCAGTAAAGGGGCTGAGCAACCTGGGAAACACGTGTTTCTTTAATGCAGTTATTCAGGTAAGATTGTGCTTTATAAGATGCCACCCTTGATTTAAAATGAGTGTCTTTGTAAATTTAGGAGCTATTACTAATCGCTATCATTGTCTTTTCCAGAGTCTTTCTCAAACACCGCTCTTAAGACAGTCTCTCAACAAAGTGACAGAAGAGAAAATGAGTCTTAACATTAAACCTGTCGCCTCCTTGGATCTGGTGTGTTTCCGTTTGTTTTTAACCATAAAGATGGTAGATCTAGATGCCTAATATATACACAGTTTATTATTTAAAGACTTGCTTTTGTAATGATTACAGGAGCCTATTGTGGTGCAGTTAGACCAGCCTGGATCCCTGACTTTGGCTATGTGTCAACTTCTCAATGAGATCCAGGAATCCAAAAAGGGTGTGGTAACACCTCGGGAGTTGTTCACACAAGTGTGTCAAAAGTGAGTGCAAGTTGAGGTGGAACTCAGCCTTAAGATGTGCTTAAAATGTACTTCCTAGCATCATTACATTAAAACTTTCTGTCTCCTTTCTGCAGGGCTGCCAGGTTCAAAGGATTTCAGCAGCAAGATAGCCAGGAGCTGCTGCGCTACCTTCTGGACGGTATGCGGGCTGAGGAGATCAAAGTATGCATTTAGTTTTTAAGAAATTGCCCTATATATCGCATTGGTGAAAGATTTACACTTGAAACAGACACTGTATATCCAAGTGGCTATGTGTTATGTGGCAGTATATTACATTGACAGCAGAACAGTACTGCTTGTAAGACAGCTGGTATGGATTGCACTATAAGCACTTATTAAGCTTTTGTTATTTCAAGCTCAGTAGAACTAAGCTGCAAAATCTCCTCCTCTCTGGCTTATCAAATGGTTATTTTAGTCATATACATTTGACGATTGTGTTTGTCTCTACAGAGAGTAAGCTCTGGAATCATGAAGGCATTGCAAGAATCCAGAAAAGGCACAGATGAAGAGCAGTTGAAGACACTAGTTAAAGGTAAGTAACTAGGCTTTAAGTTAAACACCTTGTGGTCAGTGTCACATAAGCAAAAAAAGTTGCATTCTACTGTACAATACTGTCTTGGCACACCAAATAGTCAAATGGGGTCCTGTAACAATGAAGTTCTGATTTCAGAGTACGAGAAAAATGGGTTTCCAAAAAACTTTGTCGACCAAGTTTTTGGTGGGGAAATGACCAGCACTATAATGTGTCAGCAGTGCAAAACGGTATGTGTTGTGGAAGATCTTCAACCAAGTCCAGTTGCCCTTGATTTTTAACCTTCGTTGGATAAGTTTAAGATTTTACCTATTATGCTGGTGTCACACTAAATGGCTATAACTTTGCACTTACAGGTGTCTGTAGTCACAGAGATGTTTTTGGATCTTTCCCTTCCTGTTTCAGATGAGGTAAAGCCTTTTATGAGTGTTTTTTTTGGGCAATTATTTGTTCGAGTTTTGTTTGGGTTTCACACATGTGCCTTTTTGTGGCGACATCTTACAGACATACAGAAAGAAAAACCAAAAAAAAGGAGTTCAGAACACCCGTGAGTCAAGCCAGGAAAGCAGAAACAGTCCTGCTTTGACCAATGGAAATGATGACATTCCCAGTGGGGCCAGCAGCAAGTACCAACAGAAGAAAGCCAAGAAGCAGGCAAAGAAGCAAGCAAAGGTACCTCACTGACTGTACATAAAGGAAGTTTTGTCTTTTGTTGAAGTTAATGGATGAGTGTGTAATCATTGTGTAGAATAAACTAAATAGTCTGTATTGTTTCCATGTTTCTGCTACAGCATCAAAAGAGGCAGCAAAAGCTTGAGGGCAGAGTCACTTTGGACAGTCTTACATCGCCGAGCCACACGGAGAGCGAACAGACAGATCCTACTGCAGATGGGGAACCAGATGGGGGAAATGCTGACAATGAAACACATGAAGAAGCCTCACTGAGTGAAGGAAATCCTGCACAAATCAGTGTGTCTGAACAGGACCAGAGGGACCCTGATACAGTCCAGGATGAGAAGGAAGAGGACGAAGAGTCAGTGATTGACTGTGACTCATCAGCTACGTCATCAGTCAGCAACCGTTTTAATGTCTTATCAGAGGAGCAGAACTCAAAGGACAGCATCTTAGATGATGCCAAAATGTCTGACATGGATCAGGAAGAAAAAGAGGATACACAGCTGGTGAGTGAAATGGAGAAAGTAACCCTGGATGACGCCTTCATAGAAGACTATGATGCTGAACAAGGCATGGAGAGTGAAGATGAGCCACTAGAGGCTAAAGAGTACACTGTAGTAAATCAGGACCCAGAACTGGCCTTTCACACACTGGCTGCCAGGACGGCCCCTGAGAAACAGGAGTGTTCAGTACAGTCATGCCTTTTTCAGTTCACAGAAGTAGAAACCCTCACCCAGAACAATAGCCTGCTGTGTGTCACCTGCACTAAACGGCAGTCACACAAAGACAAAGCTGGAGGTATGTGAAATTTCTCTCCCTCATATTTCACCTATTGTTGATATAGCTTTTGTTCTTGACATTGTACACCCTGTACATGTGTGTGGATTTTTGCAGTACAGTATCACAAGTCCAGTGATTCTAAAAACAACAACAACCAAGAAGTCAGTTAAACTGGATCTTCTGTCTGATGTTCCATTTGGGGATCAATAAGGTTCATCGTCTTTATTTGTGCTCTGTTTAGGATCCAAGAAGAATATTTACACTGACGCCTTGAAGCAAATGCTGATCTCCTCTCCCCCACCAGTGCTTACCCTTCATTTGAAGAGATTTCAACAGGTGAGTTAAAGAAAATGTCAGCATTTTTACACCTTTGATCAACTGACTGTCAGCCAAGTTGTTTTTATTGACACACCTTCAAACCAGCTGTTTAAGGAACATGACACATTGTTTTGTTTTGATTTTTTTTGTTTTCCTCTAGAATGGATACAGTATTTGTAAGGTGAACAGACATGTCCAATTCCCCCTGATACTTGATTTAGCTCCCTTTTGTGGGGTAAAATGCAAGGTAAATATTGGATTAACAATTTTTGTTAAATGTATCATTATTTTATTATAGTCTGAGCACTAACAGTAAGTTGTTTCCAAACAGGCCATGACAGAAGGAGATGCTCAGATTTCGTACAGTTTGTACGGTATTGTAGAACACAGTGGAACAATGAGATCAGGTCATTACACAGGGTATGTGAAAGTACGACCTGATAATCCCTCATCCAATGGACTTGCAGCAGAAGGTTGGTGTACTTGGGTGTGACAAATAATAACATGGTAGTAATACTTTAAGTATCAACTCTAACTCATCACTTCCCCTCAGGAGATGCAAAGCCACCCAGAGGATCCTGGTTCCATATAAGTGACACAAGCGTCCAGCCTGTGAGTGAGAGTAAAGTCCAGAGTTGCCAA